TAATCAACGGTTTGTATTTTAACACATATTTTCTTGTATTATACTTGTATTCTACCCCTAAAACATAGAAAAATCATTGAAAAGCGTAGGGGTATGAACTCACTTGATAAGGTGCTGATTTGGGCAGCACTTCGTTCTTAGAAAAGACCTTCTTTGCTGAAAATCAGGCTTTATGCGGATAGAGTTTAATTTGGAAAAGATTATTTTCTCGAGGATTTCGGGGCGCTCCGGGCTTTCTTCGGTTGTTAAGGAGGTTCCCTAGGCTTCGGGGTGGTTTAGAGTGGCTAGAGAAGGAGTAGAGAGTGAAAAAGTATGAGAATTTGAAACATAAACCCGGAGACCTCGCATTCCTTTTATAGTTTCCTGAAATCTCGCATTACGCGGGGCGTAACTTCGGTACGCTGGGCGTACACGGTACACAGGGCGTACCTTCGTACGCGGCGCGTACGAGCTACGTGTCATCTGTTGGGTTTCCGAGCTTTGGAGGTGTCACTGGTACGAAACACGCGTCTAATGTGCGAAGGAAGGAGCGACGTGGCTGACTCCGGACCAAGCTTCCAAGTACGCGGGGCGTACATACAAAGTACGTTGGACGTACGGCTTCGGTCCGACCTCGAAGTTTGTGCCTGAAACTTCAAAAATTCATATCTTTCGCATACGAGCTCCGTTTTTGATGTTCTTTATATCCACACTTAGGTGAGATTATACTCAACAACTTTCGTTTAGACTCCGTCGGCAAATTTTGACTTTATTTTTAATGTTATATTTTTAACAGTCCGGGACAGGAAAAGTCCGTTAAAAATTCATAACTTCTTCATCTGACTTCCGTTTTCGTCTGTCTTTTTACTGTTGAACTACTATTGACGAGATCTTTGAATATCGTTTTGGTTGTGTCGCCTAAAAATCGCTTGATCTTTAATTCGATTTTTGGGCCGTATACTGTTGTGCCGAATCTTAGAAAAATCATAACTTCGTCATACGAAGTCAGATTTAGACGATCTTTTTATGTACGTTCACGGGTTAATGTATTCTATAACTTTCATTTAGATTGTTATGGCTAAAAAGCGTTTTATCAAAAACTCATTTTTTATGACACATAGTGTCGTGCCGGTTTCGTCGCGAAACTTCAATGAGTCATAACTTTTTCGTTATAACTCGGATTTCAGTGTTCTTTATATTTCTGGAATTCTTGTCACGACCACTACTACTTTATTCGTAGATATTGGGTCTATCTAATATTTTATTTTTTTATTCTTAATTTCACTTGTATTTGCTTGCTTCGACTTTCATTGACTTTTATAGACTTGAAATAACGGGTTGTTACATCCATGACCATCCCTCTTCCGCCAGCAACCTCCGCGAAGGACCTAGAGTCCCTTGTCGCAGCACAAAAAGTTTTGGGAGTCGCCGAGACAGGCCGCCTTGGAGCCTCTGGAGGGGGGTTCCGGGGATGTCACGCACAATTAGCTCTAAGAGACCTACCTTTGCAGTCAATCTCCATGAGGCCTTTTTCGACACTCCATTCAAACCTAATTAATCTTAGGCCATAGGCCATTATTATTTGACTAACTTTTTATCTAATCATTTGACTAACTATTATTTCTTACTTTATTATCATATCATTAAATTAACTTTATTGTTTAATTATATTATTATTGTTAACCTTATTATTTAATCATTATATTAACATTACTAACTTTATTATTATTATTATTATTATTCAAACTTATTTTTCTATAAGATAAATAAAACAACAACGATATAAATTTTTTAATAAGATAATAATATAAATAGTACTACAAGAAAAATATATTCTAAATAAATCCTCATCAATTTTTTTTTTTAAATTTCAAATATTACATAGCAAAAGTTTGAGACAAAAATAAGCAAAAATTAATCATTTATAGTCATAAAAGATCTTCAGTAGGTTTCAGATGCTTATAAAATTCTACCCATGAATTATACATAGTTTGCCATTCGGTTGCTGTCGGGGCTTTGTGGCGGATCCACAATGTCGCAATGGGAAGCATTGGGTACTCTCCTTCCAATTGTACCATCACATAATGATTGGTGTATACAAGTGCAAATGTAAGGACCCGATTATTTTGAAACTCTCTAGGACCTCTCCAAAGAGGAAAAAAAGTTACGGGGCCTTCAAAGGTCAAAAATTGAACACTCACACCAAACCTGTTGGCTATCAAGATGCTTGTCTCAGGCATAAGCATCCAATGTTTTGTTGGTGCTGACTTAATCTTCAAAAAGAAATACAATGAAGTAACTACTTCATCGCAACCAACGAAAACTCTAGCGTAGTCGTCATATGAACTCAATAACTCGTCTAACAATTGTTGACGAATGTAAAACCACTGATCTTCACCATATCCAAGACAAACGGATACCGATCGAAAACCACAATTTCCATCACCCAAATACATTTTGTATATATGTGATGTATGGATGAAATATAGATGGAATTTCCTCTAACAATGAATTATCTCCCACTGGTGGTTCCTCGTTCAAGTCAATCTTGTATGAATATTGGTCTATCAGATCCTCGTTCAATACTATCTGGTATGAACATTGCCCTATTGGTTCCTCATTTAAGTCTATGTTGTATGGACATTGGCCTATTGGTTCCTCATACGAACCCATGAAGAATGAACTATGTCTGGCCGGTTCATCGTTCAAGTCCATGAATGATGAACTATACATTGGTGGCTCCTAATTTAAGTCTGAACAACTGTATCTATGAGGAGCTTGACTTTGATGTTGGACACGCTTTACTTTTGGGTGTTCGCGGTTATTTTTCTTAACCGAAGGTTCATTGATCAAATTTGTTGATGGATCTGTTATCTCCTCCATCCTTCTTAAATAATTGTATTTGATATGATCTGGTTGATTGTTGTATATTTCTTTAAACCTCTGTATACGATGATCAACATTAAGATCACCATATTCCACAGATATAGAAGGCTTCAAATCAAGTTTTCTCCGAAAAGCATCAATCGAATCTAACGGAATAGGCGAACCTATAGTCAAACAGAAAAAATATCATAAAGTGGTTATAAGTATAAAAATGTCAATTTAATCCAATAGATTAAACATACCTCTACCGACTTACATCGCTAGTTCGTGAGCACATGGTAATCCAAAACATGTCCGCAATTGACATCCACAATTCTCAGGAGTTGGTACAAATCCTTTTGACCGATGAAGCTCTTACAAGATTTTATCCATAGCATACACTGAAACACGTTTTCGCAGTACTTCGAATATCTGATCCTTAAACCTTGGCATATAAGTGATTACGCAACGTGTGAAAGTTTCTTTGATAGCGATTTCTTGTGATTGTACAACTTTTCCAATAACATGTATGAATTTATCCAAATCACATGTCGCAGACTCCAGGTGTTTTTTCAGCTTAGTGTGTTGGCTCTCGACTTTATTTGTTGTTGAATTTCCAAAATTGACATGCTTGTTAGTCAACAACGATACAAATCTTTCAGCATAAAGATAATCAAACAGTAATTGTTAAAGAAATTAAGGCTTCAACAAATATATGAATAATACTTGCATGTTCAGACAATAATGTTTGAAGGTCTGCATAATATTGCATGCATGCATTTGGCGTTGGAGATTCTACTAACTTCTTCCACTTTAGATGAAGAGAATCCCACATCTTTTGTGGTTGATTCGTTGTATTAAATGTTTTGTTATATCGTTGAATATATGTCACCTACAAAGTAAATGATTACTTTTTGGAAAAACATCTTCGTGCGCTTTCATCAATGCCAAAACTCTATTGGTGACGATAACACGAGGGAAAAAAGAATAGTTAACCGTCGATTTCAAACAAGTCAATGCCCATATATAGTTGCTCGTTTTTTCATTATGCATGAATGCAAAGGCTATGGAAAACGTCTTGCTAGTAGAAGTGACACCAACAATTTCTAGAAAAGGAAGATTATACTTGTTTGTTTTATATGTAGCATCCATCAACACCACATATGGAAATGCTTGACACATCTTCAATGATGTTAGATGAATAAAAAATAGCTCTTCTAACTCGTTAGTAATCGTGTTTACACGATACTGTAAGTTGTACCCTTTAATTTGCAAAATGTGCATAACATTCTGCATCGGGTTCTACCTTCACGCCGAGATCTTCCCAACTTTTGGACAAAATTAAGTTCTCAATGAAGACACATTATTTTGATTTTGCGCTTTTAGTGTTGGCAAAATATTTCGCGGTTTCACATCCAACTCTGTCAAATCTTACACCAAATGAGCTTCTTTATCCGACAAACGCATTGCAAAAAGATGACCCTCCATGTACATTGATGGTTCGTGATTGTGTTCGTCACGTACGACCCTTAACTTCCAAACATCGTCTTTATTTCTAGCTATACCACCACGATCACAACCAAGTACTATTTTATAAAAATGAAGTCCTTAGTTATTGCCTTTGATCGTTTAGTGACAATAACATAACATTGTGAACGTGCCCAATTTTGCACCCAAGTCATTAAATCTCCACGAGATCTAAAGAACTAATAATTGAGAAAAAAAAACTCATGTTAAAAAATATCAATAAAATACATCATTTAATTACACATAAGTAAATAATTGGATTAAAGATATACTTGGTCGGTTTAAATTTCCGAAATATTCTCCAATTTTTTCCTGCAAAAATAAAAAAACAAATTAAAAATGTTGATTAATAATCTAAATTTTATTTAAAAAAATTATATTATTAATAACCTTTTTTTAAAAAAAAATAGATGATTAGAAATTAATAAAATTTTCAACTCCAATAGAAAATTCTGAATACTAGGAACCTAAAATCTTAGTCCAAATTCAGCCCAAGAGCCTAGTCCATTACCAACCCATTTGTTATATATATATATATATATATATATATATATATATATATATATATATATATATAAAACCCTAATTTTCTCACAAATCAGTTTCTATATCACGGATCTCTCTTTCACATGATCCATCTCGCTGGATTTTTGATTTGGCTGGCCATTATGTCGCCGCCGCATTGCCGCCAACAAACAAGCCGGAGAACCATAGTTTTCTCACAAATCAGCTTCTTTGTGGCACGTTCCTTTCTCTTTCTCGACGGAGCATTGCCGCCAGCAAGCCGGAGAACTCAAATGAAGATACGGCGACGGATGGCAGCCTCAGGTGAACAACAACTCCGGATGGCTTTATTACCTCCACCGTCATCGGATGGCAGCCTCCGGCGAACAACATATATAAATGAAGATACGAAGTTGGAAAGAGAGAACTTACCATTTTCCGACGAACAACGACTCCGAAGACTATTTTCCGACGAAGACAATATAAATTTAGCTTGTATTAAGTTTACTAGATTAAATAAATAAACTTATAGACAATATAAATTTAATTATTAGTTATGGTATTTTGTGTTTTCATTCATTGGAAAATAGAAAATTAAGTATGAAAAACTGTGATAGCTTTCTTGAAAATAGTCGTGGAAAATACAGTCAAAAAGCTAATAAATATTAGTCAATCATTCCAATAAAAAAGAAGTAAAAATAGCCTAGCTTGCAGTGTTTGAGAGTTGAGTGTAAAAATAATAAGCCATATAATATTGGTTGTATGGACATTAGTGTTTGAGAGTGGAATGTAAAAATAATAAGCCATATAATATTGGTTGTATGGACATTAGTATACTAAAATATCATTAAATGAGCATTACATGTCACATATGTTATCATTTAATTGGGTAAGATTTGTAGGAACAAAAAGTAAAAAAAAATTTAATTTATCTTTAATAAAAGATTAAGTTTAGACCAATCATAATTTTGTATGCAATTGAACTTTAAAAAATCGATTTTTTTCCCGAAAAACCAAACCGAAACAAATTCCAAAACCAAACAGCAACTTCCTGTTTTGGAAAGAAAATTGATAATCTGAGGTATCTTTACAACAGTAAAAAAAACTATTTAGAGTTATATATATATTGGGGGGATTCCGTCAGAAAACATCGCTATTTCAGACGGACTTTATCAGCCGATAAGTTATATTGGTGAATGGTGATACAGAAAAATTAAGTCGCAACAAATTTTCCTATTTATTTAGACTCGACTAAATATGCAGCAACAAATTCAGGGGTACACACGTGTAAGGGTTCACCATGTTTCATGTGCATGCATGCTTGACCTCCTCTCATCTACTTATCTCTCTTTATATACGTGATCTGAATCTCATCTCCGATCATTCGTACTTAATTAATTTTAGTCCAAGAAATGGAAAAATGCAATGTAATATTGTTTTCACTTACGTTAGTTTGGTGTTTAGGGGTGGTTGTGCAGGGATTCACATATGATGATAAAGAGGTGCTAACGGGGGAGGGGAAGTCGGCTATGTTCGAGAGGTGGAGGAGCCACCACAATTTGGAGAGTATAAGCGAGAAAGACAAAAAGCTGCAATACAGCAACTTCAAGGCTAACCTGGAACGCGTTCACTCTACAAACAAGGCCAACAAGCCCTATAAATTAGAGATGAATCGGTTCGCCGGAATGAGTCACGAAGAGGTTATGAGCAAGCATACTGGGTTTAAAGCCGCCCCCCGTCCAAAGAAACTCAAAGAGTCCCCCCCAGATATCTCACCCCCCCCCCCCCCCCCCCCCCCCCCCCCCTCCTGCAATTGACTGGAGAACCCTTGGCGCCGTAGGCCCTACCAAGGATCAAGGACAATGTGCTGATTTAATAAATACTCCTATATATATAAGTAATTAATTAAGGTTCAGATTTGATATGTTTGATATTACGTACATGCATGCAGGAAGTTGCTATGCGTTTGCAGCAACATGTACGCTGGAAGGAATGTACGTGGCCATACAAAAAAAAGAGCTAGTAGAATTATCACCAAAAGAACTTGTCGACTGTGGTAATCTGGGTGGATGTAGCGGGGGGAGAATGACAGATTCGTTTCATTACGTTTCCAAGAACGGAGGGCTAACTACAATGAAGAACTACCCTTACGTAGCTAAAGAGGAGCCTTGCAAACTCGAAAAAGTAATAAATACACTCGATCGACTTTAATGGAGTACTAACTAATAGTTCATTCATTCAAACTCATCTCCACCTGTACGTACGTACAGGAGAAGGATATTGCAGTAGAATGTCATGGATTTGAGTATGTGCCGTGGAATGAAGAGAACTTACTAGAGAATGCAGTTGCAAACCAGCCTGTATCTGTTGCGGTTTTTATTAATGACGCTTTTTGATTGTATAAAGAGGTAAACCATGAAAACTTACTTATATATAATTTCATGAAAAATTGATTAACTAATTAATACTACTGATTTTACAGGGAGTTATGACCGCGGATTGTGGTAAGAAACCGCAACATGCAGTAGTAGCGGTTGGATATGATACGGCTCCAGATGGAACCAAGTACTGGATAATTAAGAACTCGTGGGGAGAAGGATGGGGAGACAAGGGATACATAAAAATGTTACGTCGAGTTGACTATACGGAGGGGTACTGCGCCATAGCAACAGATATGTCTTATCCTACTTTTGACGACCCTGGTACACAAGAACGAAAAGATGAGCCAGTTTTACACTCTGCTAAAGAACTCTAGACCACCAATGTTCCAAAATCCTCATGCATGCTTGCCAACAACTTGTAGTGAAAATATATCTATGGATATTTTTTCATACTCTAGATCTTATGAGTTATAAAGTTTCACCAGTTTACTTATATATAGCCAAACTTATAAAGAGTTCTAAGTCAGTAAAAGAATTTACTTAGTCTCTAATAAACCTTTTTACTCTCACGAGTACTTGTTTTGTGCATTCTTGTTACCAAACTTGAAATTTACTTCTTTTGTGTTAGCCATTTTACCAGATTGTGTGATGTACTGGAACATTTTCATTTTTTCGGTACATATTTATCGGTTATCTTTAAAGGTTGATGTGGCGCGGGTTGTTAGTAACGTGGCCAAACTCTAAACCCTAAACCTTATGACTAATTTTATTTTATGTTAACAAAAAGTATATAATAAAAAAGATTAATATAATTTTTACTTCTTTTACAAATTTAAATAAAAATGTCAAATATATAGAAAAATGGCGTATAGGCTTCAATCATAATTGTTAGGTCATCTCGAATGCATTGAACTCTTATGAGTACAATAGATTGTCACATCATAATTTCAGTAACTATACCCTTTAACCTATTAATCTCTATATTTTATTAAACTCTTAGGAGTTCAATAAATTGCCATATTATCATTTTATTTTTTTTATAAATAATATTAAGAAAAAAACATCATAAATGGTCTCTGTGGTTTCCCAAAATCTGAAGTATAGTACCCGTGGTTTAGAAACGTCATAGATGGTCCCTGTGCTTTCAAAACTTTTGACGATTGGTCCTTATTGCTAACTCCGTTAAGTTTTGTCCGTTAACTGAAGGGCATTTTCGTCATTTCACACCACAGGGACCATTTTTGATATTTTCAATTATTTTTTAAAAAAAAGAAAAACCTAAATATAATTATTTAATATATAATCTCTCTCTCTCTCTCTCTCTCTCTCTCTCTCTCTCTCTCTCTCCGGAAAACACAATCGAAACCCACCACTACCACAGATCACCACTACTTCTGTCGGATACCACCACCATTACCAGCTCCGGTCAAATAAAAAAATTCAGAACTCATCTTCCTCGTTCTTATTTTCAGAAAAAGAAAATACCACCACCACCCATTAACACCGGTAACACCACCATCTGATGAAGATTCGAAGCAAATTCAAAACAAGTACACGTCCTCTCTCTTTTCCAGATTCATACACATCCATACAAAGATGATTTTTTTATAAAGATTCAAACCAAATTCAAAACAAATACACACCCTCTCTCTTACGGATTCATACAAATACATACAATGATGGAAAATATGAAGATCTGAGGAACCAAATGAAGATTTAAACCAAGTTCAACACAAATACACATACACAAGCATCATATTTACAGTTAATCTATTTCATTAAAGATTTAACACCAAAATTGGAAACGAGTAAAAGAAATATCAAATAACACATAAACTCCATATTTCCACAATTAATCTTATGTACATCTCGGAGCTAACATTCAAAAGCCAGAAATCAGGGGAAAGAAATATCAGGATTACACAATGGCTGAAGATCAGAGCTCACATTAAAAAAAAAACCCAAAAAATCCATGTATTCCACAATTAACCTTATGTTCATCTCGATTTTCTTAAACAGATGAGGATCAGAGATAGCATAAAAAAACCCAAATTTAACAAGGTCTCCATAAATCGACACACACATACACTCTAAAATCGTCATCTCACCTTCAAATATCGCCTCGTCTTCTGATCTCGGTTGTGGAGACGAACTTTGAATCAAGTTTAGGGTTAGGGCTAGATCTAAGCAGATACGATTGGCAGATACGACGAGGTAGAGAGATACATATACACTCCGGAGTCACCGCCGTCTTTCTCTGTTCGTCTTCTTCGGTTTTGTTAACTCTAGAGCTGCAACGATGCCCTTTCTTTTTCCCTTGGTGGTCATTTCAAGTACAAACTTAGGGCTTTGTATGTGTGTCTGTGTTTGAAGAAGACGTGAAGATGAATGGATTTAAGTTCGTTTCTTTTCTTGTGAGTTTGAAGAATACGTACTCCCGAGAGAGAGAGAGAGAGAGAGAGAGAGAGAGAGAGAGAGAGAGAAAGAAAGAGAGAGACCCATTTTTTCTTTTTTTTTCCAAAAAAATAAGATAAAGCATCATAAATGGTCCCTATGGTAGTGAAATGACAAAAATACCCTTCAGTTAACGGGCAAACTTAACGGAGTTAGCAATAAGGACCAATCGTCAAAAGTTTTGAAAGCACGGGGACCATCTATGAGGTTTTTAAACCATAAGGACTAAACTTCAGATTTTGGGAAACCACAGGGACCATTTATGATGTTTTTTTCTTTTCAATATAAATTGTTATATTAAATTAAGAAAGAAAAAAAAAATTCAACATAAATTGTTATATTAAATTGAATATATATATATATATATATATATATATATATATATATATATATATATATATATATATATATATATATTATTTGGTTCCATGGATATTGAACCATCCATTTAATACACTCTACGAGCAATTGATTTTTAATCCATTAAATGTCACATCACCATTTTTTACCCATACAATACATTGAATGTTACATCACAATTTTTACCCGTTAAGCTCTTGGAAGAACCCCATTGGGGATATCTTAGAATCAATATTTATTCAATTGCTTTAATATAAATTTTAATTTAATTTTCTAAAAATATAACAATAAGTCATTGTAAATGAACATTTTTTTACAAAACCAATAAAATGTCAAAAGTTTAAAAGTATTCTTAAGTGCGAAATAAAACTTTATAAAAAAACATTACCAAGACTTAATAAAAACGCTTTTCAAAAAAAACATTACTAACTTGTAAAAGAAAAATTAAGGATTCCGATGATTCGGTTTTTAAAATCCGGTTTCATAAAAAACAAACAAAATGTTAAAAAGTTATTAATTAAATAATGTAACAAACAAAACGTTAAAAATTAAAAAAATAAAAATAAGAGAAAAAAACATCAATAAAAAAATAAATTTAAATATATATTTAAATAAAAACGTAAAGAATTTAAAAGATTTTTAAATAAAAAAATAAAGACAAATACATAAATAAATAATAAATAATAATATGATTTAAAAATAAAAGTAATTTACACCAAATCTATAGTAAATTTATCAAAATAAAAATAAAAGATTAAAAGTATTAGTGATTAAATGTTTGATTGGATAAGAATTTTTTTTTAAATGCGAGCTTTTTTAGGCTCAAGGGAGCGGGGGTACAATTTGGCCGCACAACGATAGAAATCGGTCACGGATTGGGGTTTGCTTTTCTCATCTCTTAAACGTTTTAATAGTCAAAAATTCAAAAAAAAAAATGTTACCTATATATAATACATATCATCCCTTAATTTATCAAATTTCAATCAATTTAATGTTATCTTTCACTCCCTTCTTTTTTCAAAAACTCTGATGGTTTTTTTAGCTTGTATGTCTCTAATTACTAGTCTTTTTTCCTAAGTTTTTCGAATTTTTTTACATGTTATGTCTTTTTTAAGTAATGAAATGTAATGATTTTGAACTTTTAAGTAATGAAATGTTATGTTTTTTTTATTAAACTTAAAGTTTTTGTTTAAATTAAATTATTGAAAAAAAAGTTTGGTACCACTCCTTGTTTGTGACAAAGAAACTATACTTTTGTGGTAAAAACCGACGTGATGCTTACTTGACAGTGAAGTGAGTGTGGTAAGAGTGACAACACTCCCGCCAACTTTAGAAAACCCTTAAAGTGCTCGGTGTGGGCAATGCTCACTCCCGTTATGATGAAGTGGACGTCGTAAAACGTCAGTATAACACTGGGAACACCACCCCCGACTCCCGTTACGATATAAGGTGTTACCTAGGCGTGGTAACAGCAACGAAGGGCAACACCCGTTTCTTCTTTATTCCTTTCTCTGTGTTTCTTCTTTCTTCCTTTTTTCTTGGCCTCACAACGCAGTTGAAGGTTTGGAAGACCACCCCAAAAAAATGTGATGGAAAGAAAAAGAAAGAAGATGATGATGAGGCGTGGGTATAGGTGTGATCCATACCCAACAATCTTAGTTTTATTAAAAGAAATTAAAAAGAAACTAATGATTAGATGTTTGAATAGATGAAATGATGGGCGAGAGTTTTTATAACATTTTTGAAGGTTTTTTAAATAAACCAAAAAAAACCAATATACATAATCTTTTATACCAAAGGGCTTCTAGCCCAGCGGTATCAGGTGGTGTCCTCCCTCCTAGAGGTCGAGGGTTCAAGTCCCGTCGTGGACGTAGGTGGATTTAGGTGTTAGTTTAGGAGTAGATTATATATTATATTTGCCGGTTCAAAAAAAACATAATCTTTTATGATATTAACTATTTAAATAATTAAATGGAAACTTCATATTATAATTTGAAAATCAAAAAATAAAAATCGATAGACCTACCCGACCATACATGTTGGTCGTGCTAATATAGTTGTCTATTTTATATTTCATTATATCGTGTAGTATTGTTAGGGTCAATATCCTCAACCCTATTCAGGATCCCGGATCTTCAAGATCTTTCAGGATCCCGAATCCTTCTCAAGATCCTGACCATTGTTATTATTATTTCCTAACACTCATAACGGTCATATTTCTATTTCTTTTTCTCACATATGTAGTATTGGTCTATATGAGACTCATTCTCAACGAAGAATCGCTTCAATCAGGATTAATACTCGTGAATAACAAGTCAAACAACGTGCATATGCTCATTCAAGAGGATCCCAAAATATCGGACTTATTGTTATATAGTCTAGACTATAAATACACCTATAATACACACATTATAGACAATATCAACTATATTACTACATTTGTACTCATATTATCTTCATCATTTCTATAATCTCACATTCATATCAATAAAAACAAACAAGGCAGATGATCATTACCACCTCCCAAGGTTTTATGTTGGAGATCCTATAAAGGATCAAG